CAGAATAAGGTATTTAAGATGTTTAAAAACCTAAGACTTTGGTGGTGAACGCCTTTAATCCCAGCACTCGGGAGGTAGAGGCAGGCGGATCTCTGTGAGTTCGAGGCCGGGCTGGACCGGCAGCCTCCAAAACAATACAAAGAAACCCTGTCTCATAAAACCAAAAACCAAAACAAAACAAAACAAAAAACCTAAGACTTTTCATGACAGTGAGGCATATCTGCTCCTGGCAAGACCAATGTATTTTAAAAGGATGATGGGCACTGAAGAACTTCAATATGGAGCTTGTTTTGCTTGTAGCAAAGCTAGCCATTTGGGCAAGAAATTGCCCTTTCCTCAACTTCTGACAATATACTGTACAAACTGGATAAGCAGGACACAAAGGAAAGACTGTAGAACTTTGCCAAGACAAGGTGGGATATTCCTTCAAAATTCCTGCTTCACAGAAAAGTCTGTCAGATAATCTAGGCCTGCAGGCTGAAGATGGATGCCCTAATGTGCAGAGGAATCTTGGGTGACTGTCCAGGTAGCCAGCTGCTTCTGTCATTTCTGTAGTTTTGGAAGTTGCTTGCTCTGTATTTCCTGTTTACTCAGGTAATATTAAATCCTTCTTGGGTCTCTTATGGAGTTGAAAGTGAGATAGTTGTCGTTTTCCTTTTTACCAAATTCAGAAAAGAGACTTATATAAGAGATGTCAAGGTTAAGAAACATAAAAGCTTAAACTGTTTATCTAAAAAAATGTTTTGAAGTCTAAAAAGATAATTTTGGGTTGGTAATATGTTAGGATAGAAAGTAAATTAGGTACACAACTTCACCAAGATAGGATAAATAATGGAGTATTTTCTCTGAATTTGCCAAATGCAAATGGATTGTAAATGTAATTCTTATTGTATATAGTCTTACCATGTTAAAACTAAAACCTTTCTCTTTATTTAACAAAAAAGAGGAAAAATTGTGGAATATTTGTTTAACTATGCAAAGATGCATTCCATTTGTTCAATTATGTAAAGATGTGTACTGTTTTACCTTGCCTGCCTAAGGCATCTGATTGATCTAGTAAAAAGCTGACCAGTCAAAAGTGAGGTAGGTGGTAAAGGTAGAACTTCCTGGCAGGGAAATTAAGTAGGAGGGGGAATTTAGGCTTGAGAGGAAAGAAAAAAAAAATGACAGAGATGCCAGGAGCCAGCCAGCCAGACACAAAGCAGGGAAGTAAGACATACAGAATGAAAGCCAAATGTAAATGAATGGAAACAGATTAAATTAAGTTAAAAGAGCTAGTGGGACAAGCCTAAGCTAAGGCTGAACATTTAGAATGATAAGTCTCCATGTCTTTATTTGGGAGCTGGTTGGTGGCCCAAATAAAATTCCAACTACAAAAATATTTATATCCTACACACACACACACACACACACACACACACACACACACACACACACACAAATCAGGTGTAGTGCCACATACCTTAAATCAACATTCAGAAAGCAGAAGGATTTCTGAGTTCCAGGACAGCCAGAGATAGAGGTATCAAAAAACAAACAAAAAACAAAACCCCACGTGTTGGGGAAGTCCTTTGTCAATAAAGCACTGCTGGCCAATGGGAATCTAGATAGGTGGGACTAGAAGTCCAGGAGAACTCTGGGAAGGAGAAACACGGAGAGTCGAGATGTAAGGCCATGGGGTAGGAAGCCCGGAAACTTCTCCGGTAAGAGACATACTTAGATTAACAATCATGGGGTAATTACTTAAGTCAGAGCTAGCCAGTAAGAAACAAGCAAGGCCAACAGCTTCATAATTAATATAGCCTCCTGTGTGTTTATTTGGGAATGATGTGGCTCTAGAACCAGGCTGGCGGGAAAAGGCTTCTCTTTACATCCACAAATGAACATAAAGAGTTGACTAGATAAAGGGTCAGAGGCATAGGTCAGTTTTTGTTAGGTTGTTGGTATTTCCAGAATAACCTGCAGACCATGACTATATCCAGAGATGGTAGGTACTTGGTAGGAAGACATAATGGTGGAGTCAGCTGTCTCAATGTCCATGATGCTCAACTGATACAACTGAAATCACTGCCAACTGACTTGCAGCACTCAGAAGCCAGATAAATTATTGGCTTCAGTGGATGGAGCACAAACCCTGGGGATGTAGCTGCCGTGGTGACAAAGCAGCAAGATGCATTCCTGTGTGCTCACTGGCAAATGAAAATTCATTTCCCCACAATTTGAAGGGTGACCCAACTTTGTTTTCATGTGTTTCATCAAGGCTGACATTTCTGAGCCTTCAAGTCTCCCAGATGTTAAATGCCTGGGAGGCTCTTTACCTTTACAAATGATGTGAATTTTAATCATGGGCAGCTGGAACCTTGGTAAGGGCAAACCTCTGGGTGTAGTCTTGGGACAAGGACATTTCTGGATGAAGTCACCAGTATGGAAAATCATAACTTTTCCACTGAGTGTCTAACCATACAAAAAATTTGTATTCTCTGACTTAGATTTTTCTATTGCTTGTACTTAGCGTGCATTCAGGTGTCACAGCATGTGTGCAGGCTCAAAGGACAATTGGGAGAGGTTGGCTTTTGACTTCTACCACATGGGTACTGGGAAGCACATTCAGGTCAAACTCAGGACTGACAACCAGTGCCCAATTACCTCACTGGTCTCATTTTCTGATTTTTTTCTTCCATTCATGTTAAAGTTCCTTGATACTCACTTATGTAAGACAGGCAATGTGTTTAATGTGGTTTAGGAACTATAAGATGCAGGGCGTCATGGATAATACTTCAAAAACCTATTAGAACTCTTGGGTTTTGTTAGCGTTCAGTTGTTATACATGGATTAACTTGAACACCTTATAAATAGGCCTGCATACTTAATAATGCATTGATAGGAACACTTTAAAAAACCCCTGATCTCCTTTTCTTTGGTGGTCCTGAGGATGGAGCCCAAGGCCTTATATATGCTAGCAAAGTACTCTCCCAGGTGCTGGCTACTCCAGCTTCCCTTATTATGAGATAAGTCCTATGCAGCCTAGGCTTTCCATGAACTCAAGGCAATCCTTGTCTCTGCATCCCGTAGGATTACAGGCCAGCATTCTGGTGTTTCTTACGTTTTAAAATTTTCTGTGTATGGGAGTTTTGCCTGTATGTTTGTGTAGCATTTGTGTGCCTAATGCCTACAGAAGTGAGAAGTGGGTGTATTAGAGTTGTAAGCTACCATGTAGGTGCTTGAATAGAACCCAGATCCTCTGGAAGTACAGGGAGTACTCTTAACTACTGAGCTCTCTCTCCAGCCCCTCATCTATATCTATTCTTTTTATTTATTTATTTATTAATTATGTATACAGTGTCTGTCTGCATGTATCCCTGCAGGCCAGAAGAGGGCACCAGATCTCATTACAGATGGTTGTGAGCCACCATGTGGTTGCTGGGAACTGAACAGCAGCCAGTGCTCTCAACCTCTGGGCCATCTCTCCAGCCCCCATCATCTATTCTTAAAACATAAATCAGGTGCTGGAGAGATGGCTCAGAGGTTAAGAGCACTGTCTGCTCCTCGAGAGGACCTGAGTTCAATTCCCAGTAACCACATGGTGGCTCACAACCATCTGTAATGAGATCTGGTGCCCTCTTCTGGCATCTAAGCAGAACAGTTTCTACTTAAATTAATTGTAATGTGCAATCCCAGAAGTTGGATTTGAAAATTTTGAAAATCAGTGTTCAAACTAAAACCAAACTTCTTCAAATTGTTTTACACACATAGTCTATTATCCAGACAGTAATTTTAACATATGGGCAGTACCTATTTGTATAGTGTGAGGAATTAAAAAACAGAACAAAAAGCTGAGCGTTGGTGGCTCGCGCCTTTAATCCCAGCACTCGGGAGGCAGAGGCAGGAGGATCTCTGTGAGTTTGAGGCCATCCTGGTCTACAGAGCGAGTGCTAGGACAGCCTCCAAAACAATACAGAGAAACCCTGTCTCGAAAAAAACTAAAACCTCCCCCCCTCAAAAAAAACCAAAAAGACCCTTTGAGTAAAAATGCAAAATAGTCTATAAATCAGAAATCACCTGCTCCCTGCTCTACCTCCCATATCTGAACTTTTAAAAAGTTTAACAAAGTCTAGCCCATCAGGCACACACTGCAGTCCAGACATGTAACAGATCAATTCTTAGACAGACTAGATTCTCATCTGTAAGCCTATTAAAATTAGGCTGTTGAAAGCTCCATCCACTAACCCATAATGCCCCTGTGTTAATCCGCTGTACAAACCAAGTAGAGAACAGCCAGATGAATCCTGTCTTATCCAGCAGCAGCACAGTTACCTGGTAATGCTTGCTTTCAGCCATTAGTCTAGGGAAAAGTGGAAGACGAGCACGTTTTCCAGCTTCTTACTCAATAAGCCTGTTCCCCATTTACAGACAATGAGGATAAAGGCAGCACAGCCAAATATGGGAAACTGCTTTCTCTTTATTTAGACCTTAGAAGGAAAAAATGAACTTTGGTCACATAGTACCTTAAAAAAAAAATCCAGTTTTACATATGTCTAAATACACAGGATTAAATGAGCAGAGAAATAAAATCTTTTGTAAAAACTGGTCAAACTTTATCCAAACTTTACTATACAATGAAATAAAATTATATAGACATGTTGGGCTCACAACCTTCTGAATGATGTGACGGCTGCACCTCTGCCCACCAGTGTCCTGTGCTTGCTCCTGTGCTGCTCTGGTCTGGGAGCGGAGACTTAACCAGCATGGACTGTCAACAATGGCCTGCAGTGTGGCAGTGTGGTCACTGGCACACATCCACGATGGACAGGTCTACTTTAACAAAGTGTAATCAAGGAACATTTCTCATGAACATGTCACAATATCAAATTAATTATATAGGAGAAAAATAGGAACAAACCCAAAACACAAAGTTGAAAGAGCTACCACAAGCAAAGAAAAAGTGTCCCCGTAATGCATGTGCTGGGGTGAAAAGTGGAAGAGGGCTGACGATGCTAATATGAAAGGAAGCTGAGTACAGTATTTATTTCTCATTTCATTTTATACAACTCTGACTCTTTACAAAAATGGTTATAGTCATGCCCGGAAAAGTGTGACCCACGGCATTTGAAAGCAAACACTCTTTGTAGTTATTTAAAAGGGCCTTTTTAAAAATTATAATACAAAGGTCTGTGCTCTATAAGCAGTCCTCCACTGTGCATTATAACAATAAGGCTTACTTTTAATACAAAGACTAAGTGTTTAATAGTTATGAGCCACTGGACTTGACAAACATCATCTTATAATTGCTCTTCGCATCTTTTTTGCTCTTCGGGTCTTCTGCATCATCAGGATGCTCAGCAGCATGGAGTTCTTCTGCAGATTCCTCCTTCTCAGACTCAGAATCACTGTCCGAGTCATCTGGACTCTCGGCATCCGGCGAGTCGTCATCATCGTCATCTCCAGCCACATTGCCTTCCCCATCATGATCTTCTACCTAAAACATCAAACAAAGGCCTGTTAAGGAAAAACAAGCACCACTAGCCAGTGTAGAAACTGGGAGACTGGGACTGACCCTATTCTTGTCTGTCTTACAAATATCCCACTTAGCGGGGCATAGTGGTGCAGGCTTTTAATCCCAGCACTTGGGAGGTAGAGGCAGGTGGGTCTCTGCCAGTCCAAGTTCCAGGAGGGGCTACACAGTGAGATCCTGTCTTAAACAAAGCAAAACAAAAAACCAGTCCACTTGATACCGTTAGGTCACTATGTTACCAACAGATTAAAATCCCTGGCTGCTGAGGAGAGACTGAGAACAGTCACTTCAGACTTTAAGGAAAACTTCTCGGGGCACTCTCCTGTATCCCTCCCCTAGCTTGAAAATTATTGTCTTTTCTCTTCCTGAAACAGTATCTTAGTAAATTAACACTGCATCAGTCATTATACAACACCACTCAGGAAACAGCTAAGAAACCTAAGCCAGGATTTTAAACTTACACGAAATATTTTGTCTCTCTTTTCTTTTCTTTTTTTTTTTTGGTTTTACGAGACAGGGTTTCTCTGTATTGTTTTGGAGGCTGTCGGTCCAGCCTGGCCTCGAACTCACAGAGATCTGCCTGCCTCTGCCTCCCGAGTGCTGGGATTAAAGGCGTGCGCCACCACCGCCCGGCGAAATATTTTGTCTCTTACAAGCTTTTATTCATAGCCATTAAAGGTGCACCTAGAGGTTAAGCAGAATTTATACTAAGCCAACATCAGAAGACTCATTTTAGAGTTGGAGAGCTAGCTTAGAGGTTAAGAGCACTGGCTGCTCTTCCAGAAGTCCTGAGTTCAATTCCTAGCAACTGAACTGCACAGTGACTCACAACCATCTGTAATGAGACAGGGTGCCCTCTTCTGGCATACAGACAAAACACTGTATTCACTATAAAACAAATAAGGAAGCTCATTTTAAATCCTTAAGAACATCATTTTGATTATATAGTGGCAGAGATGTGTTATAAGAGTATTTTTTTTTTTTTTTTTTTTTTTTTGGTTTTTCGAGACAGGGTTTCTCTGTATTGTTTTGGAGGCTGTCAGTCCAGCCCGGCCTCGAACTCACAGAGATCCGCCTGCCTCTGCCTCCCGAGTGCTGGGATTAAAGGCGTGAGCCACCAACACCCGGCTTGTTTTTTTCTTTTTCTTTCTCTATTAGCATTCTTGGCTGCTCTGGCAACCCAAATATCAAAATGAAACTGATTATGTCACAATCAATAAAAACACATTACTACCTCACTGAAGCCAAGTCCACAGTGCCGCCGGTATCGGCCTGATAGTTTACTGTCCATGCTCTGCTGGTACTGAGACTCCAGTTCTTCATTAATTTTCTTGTCTTCTTCCCCTGCGTGTCCATTGTACTTTGGTTATGTTTCAGTCAAATTAACAAAAACATGTGATTACACAAAAAGACCCACAACACAGATGCTATTCTATTCAGGCCTGAGCTCTCTAACTGTGACTAACTTTTGCATTCTGTGAACAGTTTCTAAAGCACAGTGCCCACCTAATAAACACAGTAATTGACAGACATATTTATGGTGACTTTTAGGAACCAACCTTCTGAATTAAGTGTCCAATGGCTACTCTGAAGGTTCTCTCCAAATCACCTAAAACCTCTGACAACCAAGAGCATGTTTTTGAACAAAGAATGAAAATGTTGAGTATCCTGCTTAGAGAATTCAGGGTCATCTCAAAGTAATGGTTCTCTTGCTTGTCTTTGCTTATCAGCTAGCGGAAACAAATAACCCAAAAAACCCATGTTATTTAATGATGTAACATTTTTGTGTTTGCACTTACTTCACACTATGAAACAGAACACGAATAGCCTAGTGAACCCCAATTAAAACTGATGGTCCCCAACAGTGTGCACTCAAGACTTTGGGCGTAGAGCTTTAGTGTATAAACATGAAAGCAATTTTAGGTTCCAATTACAAATATTTGTGGTTTGGGTTATTTTTTCTTCATAGATCTCTCAATGTTTTGGCATTTATTATTCAGTGAACATACTATGTGCTGAATTTTGTTACAACATTCTCATGCATGTATGTCATTTCATTTTGCTACAATTCTCAATTTTAAAAGAGGAAGTATTAAATGCTAAAATGCTTTTCCATTTTGCAAAGCTGATGTTCTGCCTTATGGAACAATGCAAATCATTCTGAAATAACTAATGTCAAAAAAATGAAAGATCAAAGCCAGGCAGTAGTGGGGTACCCTTTTAATCCCAGCACTTGGGAGGCAGAGGCAGACAGATCTCTGTGAGTTCTAGGCTAACCTAATCTACAAAGCTACACAGAGAAACCCTATCTCGAAAGAAAAAAAAAGAGAGATCAATTGATTTCTGAATTATACTATGTAAAATAGTATAAAGTTAAATGATTCAGTTAAAATTTTTGTTACATTTAATTTATATTATGCTGTTAATTAATAGCAACCAAGACTAATGTTTACTTTCCAGCAGACTGAATTAAAGTCAAATTCATTTTCAGTTTTTGTTAAAACAATTTCCCCCCATTATTTTTCCTTTTCTGGTGCTGAGAAGCCAGGGCCTTGTATATGCTAGACAACTGCTTATCCACTTTCCCTTGAAACCATTTAATTAACAGAACTAACTATGCACAGAAAAACATAAAATAATACAGATTTAGTTCCTCTATTTTAATGTTTTACTTTCTTACCTGTTCGGAAGTGAGATGTTGATTTGTGATCTCCTATAACAAGACGACCAGTGTGTTCTTTCTGTAAGAAGGTGAAAAATGTATTAAACTAAAATTGCTCATTCAATGTGATTACTGGATGCCCACTACTATGTAGAGGAAACTATCTCAGGCTACTGTGATATTCTGAAGACCAAGGCATAAATCAAGATCCCTGTCTTTATGGAATTACATCCTAGCAAGAGGAAGAATTAGAAAGAGGTACACAAATGTAATCAGTAAGTATATCATACTATTGTAGAAGGTAGTACAATCAAAATAAAGGGAACAGAAAAGTCAAAGGCTAGAGATCAGGTTGGATTTTTTTTTTTTTTGCGACAAGGTCTCATCACTATGTAAATCAGGATGACCTCAAACTCAAAAGAGATCTGCCTGCTTCTGCCTCCCAAGTACTAGGATTAAAGGGAAGCACCACCATGCCCAGCCTAGGCTAGAGCTTTAAATGAGACAGATTAATGAGAAAATTAAGCCAACCCACAAGCACTTTATTTGCTGCTGAGTGTCCTCCCATCCTCCACCCCTTTTCTCTGTGTACTGTCCTGGAACTTGCTATGTACACCAGGCTGGCCTGCAATTCAGAAATCCACCTTCCTTCTAAGTGCTGGGATTAAAAGTGTGTGCCATCAGCATGCCTAGGACTACTGATTTTCTTAAAAACCTTTCTACCATCTCTTTGTGATGCTGTAAGAATATCTTAGAAAGAAAGCAAAGAAATTATTTATGTAGACTAAAAGCAAAATAATAGACTTATAATGTACCAAATAATAGAAAATGAAAGTGAGCATTACTCTTTACAATATATTACAATTAACTAGCTAGTTCTTCATCAGATTACAATAAACCTTCAACTTCAACCTGTCAAAAATAGACCTTATAACAATACAAACCATAAAAATAATTTGATTCAAAATTACTTTGTTAGTTCACTCTTTATAGTTCCTACTTCATTTCTGAAAGAAAGGATCCATGAAAAGAGAAAGGTTAAAAGTGATCTAAAGCACCATTAAGAAGCACACTGCAGATACCTGTATGCCTCCCTGTGTCTCCCACCTAAGGACACATCCTATGTCTGAGCTCCACCTCCAGCCCTTTAGGTAAAGATCTACTTGATGGTAGAGAGCCTATTTAGTCACCACATTTTACAGATCCTGTGAGAATGTTTTAGTACTTTCAGAGTTTTCAATCTAGTAGTTGAACATGTACCTTAAATTATTACTTTAATACCTTTCAACAAATTTTATTTGCAGAAGCCAATGGAAAATGTATACTACGAAAAACTGAAACTCATTAGGGAGCAAGGATTATGGATTCATTGAACAAATGCTCCCTGAAGGCTCTATAAGGGTCTGACTTCCTCAGTCCCTCTCCACTTAGAATCCTCTGCTCTGGGATCTGGGGAACTCAGCTTGCAGATTTACCTACATCTATTTCCAGGAAGTTTTATTGTGCAGCAAAGCCAGAGAGAATTGGCCATCACTATATGTTCTCTCACAGTGATGATTTTGTATTAGTTTTATTTTCTTCAAATACACAACAGCTCTCAACACACGGCCATCTGTGACACCCAGGGCGGTACCATGTAGCAGGTAATCAATAGCTCCTGGTGAGACACACTAGGGTTTCTGGGTACAACAAAAACAAAGGGTGGGGTTTCATCTTGAGTGCTAAAAAGAAGAAAATGCTTTCCTAATGTTTTCAAATACACTTTGTAAAAACAAGACTGCTAAGAAAAGGTTTTTAAAGAGTGCTTTCTTAGCACCTGCTAACTACACCTTCAACTGAACTGGGACGTACTACAAAATACATACAACATTTCTAAAATTAGGTCTCTGGCTGCTACTTTTAAGGGCTGTGAAATACAGACTTCTGACTTTGGGGAGAAGTTTCTACAAAATAACATGCTTAGAAATGCCTTCTAAGAAAACCATCAGGTAGCAAGCAATTAGCTGAGTCTACACAAATCCAATTTTCTCCAGTCTTTAATCACACAGCTGAAGGTGCAGAAAAGGCCAGAACTGGTTCAGAAATAATATTAACTCAAAGTGTTTGGTTAGGCTAGGTGTATTTCCCAAAGCCAAAAATAAACCAAGCAGAAAAAAATGTAACCTGAGGTGCCCCATTCTCCTCACTTAACCCTTACAAACAGCATTGTTTTTACAAAGATAAAACCATAAACATGTAACACTTACCTTTCCTGCACCCATAAGTCTCAAGAATTTTTGTTTTCTCTCTTCATTGCCCAAGTCTGCTGCTTCCCAATTGCTAGATCCAAGCTGCAAGAGATTATTTAGTATTTTTGTTTTTGCATTTACAAATATTAAAATACTTAAAAGTCTATCTGTAACTCCAACTTTTCTTCTGCTAGTTTTAATTAACTGGGACTAGTGGTTCTTAGGAAGTTAACCAATATGTCACATCTGAATTCTGTTAGGCTCCCTTCTCTTACCTCACAGGAGAACCCTTTACTTTTGTTACAGCACAGTTCAGTCTACAAAGCCTGCAAATGCCAGAATCGCATGGAGTGCTTAGATATTACTGTATACACACTCCTTCTTCAAATTCTTTGGGCCCTGGGCTCCAGGATACAAATCTGTGACACCCATTGTGATGCACTTCACAAGGTAGAAGGAACCAACTCCCATGAGCTGTCCTCTGACCTTCATATGTGTGGCATTGGAATGATGCCGAGTGTCCATGTATGCATCTACACACACAAATAAAATGTAATAAAAAATCTGCTTTGCTGATATTCTAAGAGACAGCATGTCATCATAATCTTTCAGGTTCTTTTTGGGGGGATTCCAGTTATTTATTAGAACCAAAATGTTGCAATTTTTATTCTTTCTTAGAGATCCTCCAAAGAACAAGAAGAAAATTTACTTTTAAAAAGGCTAAAATACAGCCTGGTCTACAGAGTGAGTTCCAGGACAGCCTCCAAAACAATACAGAGAAACCCTGTCTCGAAAAACCAAAAAAGAAAAAAAAAAAAAAAAAAACCATAACTGACTTGTGAAGCAACCTTGTTTCTTATCTAAACTTAAACTGAAAAAAAAAAAAAAGGCTAAAATACTCCCAGCACTTATAGAGGTAGGAAGATATCTGAGTTCAAGGCCAGCCTGGTCTACAGAGTGAGTTCCAGAACAGCCAGGGCTATACAGAGAAACCCTATCTCAAAAAAAAAAAAAAAAAAAAAAAAAAAAACCAGACAAAAAAACTAAAAGAAAATCACTTTATTTTGCAAAAATCATTGTATCTTTCATGTTCAAATGGGTCCACTGGACTGTTTTGTCAATTTAAATACTATAGAATCCTAATAACTATATTTTTCTCTTCATTTTGAAACAAATGTAAGATTTCATTATACTCTATCAATCACTTCAAATCATACTCAATAGGACTAAAAGGAAACAGTGAAAATTTTTTTGCATTATAGTGTGTCAAAATGTCAAGTCATCATGGCTCTGTTGTGCAGAACAATTTTCCACCCAAAAAGAAAACCAACAAAAGGCATTTAAGAATCAAGATTGAAAAGCAGAAGAGGGTCAGAGAGTTGGCTTACTGATTAAGAGCAATGGTTATTCTTCTAGGGAACTGGGTTTGATTCCCAGCACTCACATGGCAGTTCACAACTGTCTGTTAACTCCAGTTCCAGTAGACACCCTTTTCTGGCCTGTATGGGCAGCAGTCACACATGTGGCGCCTAGGCACATATGTAGGCAAAATGTACCCCCCCACACAAAAACTAATAAACAGTAATAATAATAAAGAATGTAAAACAGCATGTAGTAAAGAATTATAAGCTAAAAATGAGGATGAAGCTACATACGAATAACTTAAGACTGATTCTTCGTATTATAAAGTACTAGGTGAATTCTTTTCCAACCAATGAATCAATGTGAGACAAAAACAAGAATAAAAGAATATGGTACCCTCATCCAGAAAGCCACTCAACGGGAAGGGTTCCGTTTTGCAGTAAGAGTTTCATTTTGCAAGAAGAGCTGGGGCCATCTCATTTTTCTAAAAGGATGCTTGACTTTTACTTCATCTTTTATTATATGTGTGCAACATTTACTTGATTTGTAATGGGCAAAGGCTGAAGGCAGGTGTGGATACAAAGGTGACTAAAAGAAAAAAATGATATAGAAATGAAGACATTCATTGGATTGATCATTCTAACTAAATTTATAATAAAAAATGAAAATGTTTTACAATTATGGAGCAAAGGTGAAAAACCTCCAACACAAAATGGTAAGTACTCAGTTTTCAAAGACTCTAAGTATGACATTTTGATTATAAAAATGCAAGTAGAGGTAATGATAAAGCTAACTGGCAGTGCACTTGGTTAGCACGTATGAGGTCCTGCATTTGACATCCAACACCAAAAACTAAATCACTACCACCAGCAAAAGAAACAGTCTCAATAATATACTGAGGGTCGCATACATGTTAAGAATCTAATCTGAAACCTAAAAAGCTCTGACTCCAAAGTTCTTCTGAATGCCAACATGGAACAAATTAATCATCTGATCTCACAAGGTAACTGACAGTCAAGCGGTAGGTACACTCAAACTATTGTGTAGGTACCTTCAGGCACATTTGTATAAGTACGCATGAAATAGGTGAATCACCTATCTATATTCAGACCTTATCCTTAAGATAGCTTATGAATATGCAAATATTCCCAAATTCAACAAATTCTGAAACCCAAAAACACTTCTGGTTCTCAGCCTAAGGGTACTCAACCTGCAATGTTCTTTAATTTACAAGGAACCTTCCATTCCTATTCCCTCTAGAGCTTCTCACAGCAGTTCAGAAAGCAAACCAACAGATAGATAAAAATAAAGGACACTAAGGCACAGAAACTGTGAGCTGCTCCCATGTTCTGGCCACAACTTCTGCCTATTTCACAGAAATAGATTACTTCCATCTTGTCCTTTTCCTAGCATTATAGTCTGTGATATCTACTTCCAGTATCTTTTTAAAGTGTTTTGTTGCCCTCAATTGTATGTGAAGTCAAAAAAACTTAAATATTTTACATTAAGTGGATGCTAACACATTTCTGTTGATTTTCCACAATTTCCAGGTGTATTTTGAAAATACAGATATTAAAAAAAAAACAAGGAACATCCAATTAGCAGTAAAAATAATAAACATATACAAAGGAAAATGACATAAGAAAACCACTGTTAAGGGACACGTTACTGTATAATACCATAACGTTAACACAATCATTTTTATGATAGTACAGGCAAAGTGCCAGGTTCCAATCTTGAAATGCCAACTATAATCACCTTTAAAGACAATTATTTATAGGATTGGCAATGTATTAAAGCTCATCAACTTTAAATTATTTCATCAAAGACCTTCTGTTAAATTTCTAATGTCAACTAGAGTTTTTTATTTCTGAGTCTGTCAAATCAAGTATGTGACATCCCAGCAATCCAGTTAGTATCAGGAGGAAAACAATGCAACAGCTCTGTTAGTTCTATTTTAAGATCTAGATCACTAAAAACCTAGAGAAATTCCTTACAAATGCATTAAGATTGTATTAACAATGTAAAATCTAAATTCCAGTAGTAGGGAGGATGGGGACATGAATAAATTTCAGTAGATTTAGTAGAACCAGTCATGCCCCCCAATTTTTTATTGATTACTAATCTTCCTTACAGGGTTAAAATTTATTTAAATGCTCTTACTATTCTGGTCCTCACCTCATCTTCCAATCAAAGAAGGATGGCTCAGTATTCTCTCTTTAACTACAAAATCGTTCAGGGAACGTTTTATGGTTCACAAAGGACATATGAAAGACACTAAACTGCACTAAGAATTATAATTCTGAAGCTGACAGTGTATTAATAAGTTAAATGAGACCAGCTTTCATTTATCTCAAAGATGACTTCCTCATATGCCCTCCCCACTAATTTCCCCATCAATATTCCCAAAGATTTCATTATAGGAGAACCTGGTTTTAAGTGTACAAGTTACCTGAAGTTTCCATGACACTACGCTAGAGCTAAGATAAATATAACACTAGCATCATATATGTCTTTCAATTCCCAGTGTCTGGCACCGCAGTCAGTATTTAACAGGTATAAGGAACAGTTAATTATTTAAACTGATAAACTGAAGACACGAGAGGAAAAGCAGCAAGGTATTTGACATCAAAACGGGCATTTAGGTCTCTGACATCGCCATTATTCCATTACCAAATTGTCTATTACAATCTTCGGCCCAATACCGGTCTCTGCTTATTATGACTGGCGCAGATAAGGGGAGCAATCACCAATATACTGCAAAAAAAATATTGAGGCCGGAAAATTTGTCCAAATGTGATTGAACATTTCGTCATTGTCAGAGAGCATTTTAAACCTAAAACTGGGGTATGACATATCTATCCTAAAATGTCTAATAAAGGAGCTTCACCAGCCCCCCAAAACGCTGAGACGTCTGGATTAAGCTCTTCTCCTTTTCGAGCCTTCTCAGGGTTTCCTTCCTCGACCCCCCCTCCCTCACCCTTCCTACGCTGGTCTCTTCAAACCTTCAGATCCTAGTAAGAAAAAGGAGACATCCCCTCGTTTGCGCCCTCCTCCCCTCCAGGTACCTCGGTGCTTCCTACTTCATCCACCCTCCCGGCCTTTAGTAGGCCTCAACCCTCATCCATTGTTATTTACATCGTCGTCGGGGGAGGCTGAACGTTTCACCCCGTGCGGGTGAGACTCCCGGGCAGCACTCATCGTGGCTGGGATCCCGACGGGGACAGACCGAACACACTCGCAGTTCTCCTCAATCGCGAAACCAGCAGCCCTCACTCAGCCACCGGCCCAAGCAGCGCCACTCCAGAACGCAGAGCCCCTCCGGGCCTTCTCCGCCACAGTCGTCACTGCTGCGGCCGCTCGCCGCCCCGGAGCACTCCGGGAGTTGTAGTTTTTCGGACTCTCTCTTTACTGGCCTGATTAAGCCGTCTTTAGTGGCTTAAACTACAATTCCCAGGAGGCCGAGCGACACCTCTCGCGCGGCGTGGCGGGAGTGCCCTCAGAGGCTACGCTTTCTTCAGCGGCGTGTAAAGTGAGCTTTCCCGCGGATGGGTATGGTGGTGATCTTTGGTGGAGAACTTCGTTGCCACAGAAAGGCCTAGAGTGGGTTATTACCCTTTTTCTATGAGATTCTGCCCTGTTGGTAAATACACCCATCATAGTTAAGCATACAGTTAACTGTAGTGTTTAAGACTTAATGAATACGAGTTCCTCGACCCAAGGCAAAAAACCTTGTAAAAAATGGCTTCTTTCCCCACCCTGAAGTGTGGTCTCTAGTGCTTGCTCAAGATGTCTGAACGATTCTGATTAATTTCATGCTGTTTTCTAGTATTCACTGAAATGAGTTCAGTATAATGCAGATGACTGGTTAATTGTCTGTTTTTGATACTGAAGCCCACCTGAGGGAGTTGTGGAACGCTTTCTATGGGACTTAGGTAGGAGTGACTCGAGACTTCACAGACTGAAGTCGGCCTCGGCCTGAAAACCCTGTATCCCTCCCTCCCCCCCACTCCCCCCCCCCCCGAGTGAATTCCACATGAAATAACCTCTTTAAAGTTACAATACAATTGGATATAGGAACATTCATAACCTTCAACTGTCACCTCAGTCTAGTCCCAAGACACCACCCCTTAGGATAGATAATTCAATGTTCTTCCCATTTGCAAGCCCATTTCCATTTCCTGCCTCCCCATTTCCCCTTTCTCTTCCCAGCCCCAGCAATGACTAAGCTTCTCCTAAAACCTTGTAGTTCAGTGTTCAGTTAATGAAAATGAACTTGTTCTGTAGATCAGGCTGACCTCAAACTCAGAGATCCTACTGCCTCTGCCTCCTGAGTGCTGGGATTAAAGGCCTGCACCACCACTGCCTGGCAAAAAGATGATTTTTAAAGTAAAACAAATGTCTAGTATAAATCTCCATCCTGAGTGGCATGTGAAACAAACTTAACTGTCAGCTTCTGTATTCAACAGTTATATAGTTTAATTGCTTACATAAAATACTACTTTCCTAAATTTTAGATGAAGCTGAACCATTAATAGAATTTTGTCCAAAGTGAGGTGTGTCATGCCTGTAGACAGAGGCAGGCAGATCTCTGAGTTCGAGGCCAGCCTGGTCTACAGAGCGAGTTCCAGGACAGCCTCCAAAACAATAAAGAGAAACCTGGTCTTGGAAAAAAAAATTCAAGGTCGTCCTCTCCTACATAGTGTGTTGAACAGGTCAGCCTGAGCTACATTTGAAACCTCCCCTTAAAAAAAAAACCTAAATGAACAAAACAACCCCCCTAGAACAAAACTTAAAACTGCACACTAAAAGACAGTTTCTTATTTGCTGTAGTCATAGATCCAAATTCTGTTCCTTTATTTTTGAAACAGAATAGCTTTTAAGTAAATTATATAGAAATACATTTGGAGCTATATTTAATAAGTATAGCCAAGCAAAACACAGATCAGTCTGGTATTTCTATGTTAAACCACAATAAAGGAACAAACATATGATGAGGAAAAACACTTTAAAAAGTGGTTTCTAAGTCACTAGAATCAAAGTGTTTTACTTGCTGGGCAGTGGTGGTGCATGCCTTTAATCCCAGCACTCAGGAGGCAGAGGCAGGTGGATCTCTGTGAGTTCGAGGCAGGGCTGGACCGACAGCCTCCAAAACAATACAGAGAAACCCTGTCTCGTAAAACCAAAAAAAAAAAAAAGAGTTTTACTTACCTGCTTAGTTTTTATAAGTGCAACTATGATGTAATTACATTTAAGTTACAAAGTAGTATGGTTATGATTCACTTCAAATAGTTTTTTTTAAGATTTGTTATGTATACAGTGTTTGCATGTACACCTGTACGTCAGAAGAGGGCACCAGATCTCATTACAGCCACCATGTGGTTGCTGGGAATTGAACTCAGGACCTCTGGAAGAGCAGCCAGTGCTCTTAACCACTGAGCCATCTCTCTAGCCCCCAACTTCAAATAGATTTGACAAGTTGAAATAAACACAATTTAAAACTCGTAGCCATGTTACTGACAAAATAAGATGGCTCAATAGCTACTTAAAGGCTAAGTCTAGGGGCTGGAGAGATGACTCAAAGGTTAAGAACACTGGCTGTTCTTCCAGAGGTCCTGAGTTCAATTCCCAGCAGCCACATGGTAGCTCACAACCATGCATAATGAGATCTAGTACCCTCTTCTGGCCTGCAGGCATATTTGCAGACAGAATGCTGTATACATCATAAATAAAGTCTTAAAAAAAAAACACTAATTCTAGGATTAAAAAAAAAGATTAGTAGCTACTAAATAATTTTAACTTTACTAATAGAAAAAGTCAAGAAAAATTTAATGATTTAATAACATGTCTTTCATTCACCAGATCTGTGGCACATCTGAATGGCCATGTCTTTAAGTTATAAAACATCATCATAAGCAAAACAAACCTCTGTAACATTAGAACAGACTTGATTCAGTTCATGTTCAGAAAGTAGATGTGAAGATGAAATTGTACAGTAGTAGGAGTAAATGACACAGAGACTCAACAATTCTCTTCTTTGTTAACCAAAAGAGACAGTCACCAGAGGAGCTATTAAAAACACCATCTTTAGTACTGGCACCAACCCAGCTCCATTTTTCGATTGTGTTTTCTAGCACAATGCCACAGAGTGGTTGTTAGTGAATGTCTCACATTTGTACTATCTCAGATATTCTGTGATAATCCTGGAGTGGCTACACATTAAGGAAATTCTACCAACACATTTTCTGCATTCAAGGAATTTAAATTTTAACTGTAATAGTCTAAGTTTCAGTTTACCTATTTATCAAATACATCAGGACTATTTGCCAAAGACAGAAATGAGTAAAAATGACTAGTTACTGAATTACAGTCTGGGAGGTGCTGAATGTCTAGGGGCTGAACCTCTAAGGATTTTTTTTTTATTTTTTTATTTTTTTTTGGTTTTTCGAGACAGGGTTTCTCTGTGGCTTTGGAGGCTGTCCTAGAACTAACTCTTGTAGACCAGGCTGGCCTCGAACTCACAGAGATCCGCCTGCCTCTGCCTCCCGAGTGCTGGGATTAAAGGCGTGCGCCACCAACGCCCGGCCTCTAAGGATTGTTTTATTCTAAATGAATGCACGCTTTTATTATTTAGAAATACCTAGCTCTTCAGATACATTTTAATGGTGAAACCATTCATCGTTTTTTTGTTGATGCTTGAAAATAACATCTCACTAGCCCAGGTTGGCCTGAAATTCTATGTAGCCCAGTGTGTTCTTGAACTCACGATTTTCCTATATCAGCCTCCCAAGTGCTGGCATTACAGATGTGTGTTGTAGCCTCACAGGGCTTTTAGTTTTTAAAGAGATTCAGCACATTATCTACATTATCATCATCAGTAACCATCAGTAACCAACTATCTATGTAACAGTACACTAGAACTTCTTACACTTACCTAACTTTAACTTAGTACTATTCATCAACTTGTCCCCATTCTCTTTTCTCAGTTCTTTCTCTGGTAAACACTCCCAAGTTCCATGAAGTCAACTCTTAAATAATCTATGGATGAGTAAATCACTCAGAACTTGTCTTCCTGTTTCTGGTTTATTCCGCTCAGTGTTCTCCAGTTTCATGCATAATGGCACGCATGACAGGATTCCATTCCTTTGTAAGGCTTAATGGTGCTCTGTTGTGTATATATACTATGTCATCTATTCATCTATTGATTGATGCTTAGCTTGCTTCTATTTCTTGGCTATTATATAAATAATGCTGCGATAAAAATGGGAGCACAGATGTCTCTTCAACATACTGCCTTCATTTCCTTTGTATACATACCAGTTGGATGATTGCTATGTACCATATGATAGTTCTATTTTTAATTTTCTGAGAAACCTCCATGCTGTTTTCTATAATGCTGTACCACATTCATCCATCAGTAGTGTGTGAACGTCGTCTTTCCTCAGCATTCTCACTAGCAATATGTATAGATATTGATACTAGTTCTTTCTACTGAGATTTTATTTGTTCTTCTCTCATGGTTAACAATGGTGAGTGAGCATTTTCTCATCTGTTGGCTGTGTATTTTCTTTTGAGAATAGTTTATACACTGTTAGAATTTGCTCCACCCCCAAAGGCTCAGTTATTGTAGCCATTTTTTAAAAGTCAAGTTCAATTTTTAAAATTAATAATTCATATGTTTTGAGACACAGTCTGGATCTCAGGTTGCCCTCAAACTCCTAATCCTCCTGTCTGAGGTTTATAAAGTGTGGGATTACAGGAGTCTACTACCATGCCTGATTCAAGTTCAATTTAAAGTGAAACTCTCATAAAAATATTTCAGCTATTCCACCATCCCCACTATTCCTCTTTCACTTACTGATGGGCTTTGTGCCTCTACATTTTAAAAAGAATTTAGTATTCTTGTTATTTTTTAAAATTATCTAAGTGTGTGTATGTATGGGGGGGGGTATGTGCATGTAAGTACAGTTTCTGGAAAAGGCCAAAGATGTGAGGTCCCCCTAGAGCTGGAGTTACAATTGGTTATGAGCTACCTGATGCAGGTGCTAGGAACTGAACTTGACTCCTCTGCAAGAGCAGCATGGACTCTTAGTAGCTGAGCCATCTCTCCAGCCTCATCTTATTTCTAATATTATAACGTTAACAAGGCAGGGGTCATAGATGTGTTTTATTTCTTTTTAGTTTTAAAAAATCAACACACACATTGGATATAGTGGCACCCATCTTTAATTCTAGCACCCAAAAGGCAGAAGGTGGGTCTCTTGTGAGTTTGAGACCAGTCTGGTCTACGCGAACTATGTAGTAAGACCCTTTTGTTTGTTTGTTTAAAAAAAAACCTAGAAATCAACACATATAATAA